TTTTATCATATATAAAAATATAAGTAAATACATACATATATGTATACATATTTACAGATGTTTCTCAGTGCATGAGACTCCTGGAGCTACTTGCTCAGATGCTTCTAAAATGTAGATGTATTATATATTTATATTAACTAAATAACCACCAAGTATCGATCCTCAATTAAATAACTGAATTTTAATATATTATATAATTGCTAGCTGTCTAGTTGGAAAATAAATGGGCTAAACTGCAATGCGCATATAGATTTACAGTTTGCTCATATATTTACATATGTAGCTGAAAGAGAAAGAAATCTATATAAACTTCAACTTTGTTTTTGTTTTTTTTTTTTTATATTTAATTTGCTTCTTATGCTTACGCTTACAACAAACAAGTCATAAAAAACGTAAGCTAATTATTTATAATCTTGAGTCGCATACATAAGCGTTACTTACGCAAGCTTTACTTTGCTTTATATAAATGCTCTAACAGACGCATAAATTACAACAGTCAAAAATAAAAGAAATATTTAAGCTTTCACTTCATAATCTTGAATCGCATCTATAAGCTGAATACAGTACAAACTTACACTTAAATACTTTCGCTAGAATTATTTGCGAGCAAAGTTCGCATCCATGGCGGCCGAAGTGCGCTGTATGTTGTTGAGATTGGAGCGAATGCGATTGCCGATGGATGTCTGATTATCGATAGCCTTCTTCACCTCCTTGTTGATGAACTGTTGGTCAAAGTCGCGGGCCTGATTAAGTGCCTCCTCGCGCGCATATTCCTTACGATGCTTGTGCACGACCTTGGTGCGATCGGCCTCGCGCCACACAGCATTGTCCATCATCTCGCGCAGACGCGCCTCGCGCTCACTTTCGGTGAGCTTCGGCTTTGCTTTCTCTGGCTGACGAGGAAGAGGAGGAGGCGGAGCCATAGCTGGCTTGGGACTAGGCCGACGTCGCTCATTGCTGCGACTCCTCTGACGTTGATCTCGGCGAGGACTGTGACTGCTGCTGCGCCTGCGTCGTTCTTCCGGTCTTCTATTCTCTCGCTTTGTTCGCTCATCTGTTCGGCTGCTGCTTCTCTCTGGTCTTCTTTTCTTTTCGGTGCCCTGTCTGTCTTTTCCTCTGTCCCCCTCCCGACTGCTGCTTCGTCCGCCTCTTGATTTACTCTTCTTGGCTTTCTCTGATCTCTCATTGCTTCGGCTACGTCTTGTTCTGTTCTCCTTCATCAGTTTCATCCGCTCATCTGCTCTGCTGCTGCTTCTATCAGCTCTACTCTTCTTTGCCTTTTCCAATCTTTCATCTGTGCTGCTATCGCTTCGGCTACGTCTTGCTCTGCTCTTCTTGGTCTTTTTAGATCTCTCAGTTCCCCTGCTCTCCTTTCCCAGCTTTGTTCGCTCATCCGCTCTACTGTTACTTCTATTCCTTCTCTCTCTGCTCTCCTTTGTCTTTTTCGATCGTTCATCTGCGTTGCTGTCGCTTCGATCACGTCGTCCTCTGCTCTCCTTACTCGACTTTGTTCGTTCATTTGAGCGACTGTCGCCTCTTCTTCCCTTTTTCTCTCGCTCATCAGCGCTTCTCTCACGTCTGCATTTGCTCTCCCTGATTTTCTTCGATCTCGTCTCACTGTCGCTGCTATTACGTCTGTCTCGACTCTCGTTTGCTCGTCTTGGTTGGTCCTCAGAACTTCTGCTGCGACTTTTACTGCGTCTTCTTCTGCCTGCCTTTGACGCCTCCTCGCTGCTATCGCTATCATCGCTGCTGCTGCTACTGCTGCTACTCCTATTGGGACGCTTTGATTTTTTCTTGCTCTTTTGTTTCTTCTGTTTTGTTGCCATATCCAGCTGCTTGGTCAACGTGCGGTACTTGGCATCCAGCAGTTTGTCCAATTTAAAGTCCTCACTTGTGTTATCGCCTTTGAGTTTTTTCATCTGCTTGGCCAGCTTTCTGTCCAGATCCTCGTTGCTGTCATCGCTGTCGTCCTTTCTGTTCTTCTTTTTCTTTGACTTTTTGCTCTTTTTGGATTTTTTGTTGCGCTTTGCTGCCAGTTCCTGCTCCGTTTTGAGTAAGCGATGGATTTCCTTTAGTTTCACTGGATTCTCCAGCAGCTTGCGTCGCGATTCCATTTCTCTCTGTTTGATGAGCATCAGCGGATCTTCCATTGTCTTGCGCTGCATATCCACCTGCTCGGTGGATTGCATATTACGATATTCACGTATAGAGAACGGCACACACTCGTGCTCGACATGGTTAATGGACTGCTTAACGCCCAGAGTGTTTTGCTCCTGTCGCTTCTCCTCCGCCTGCAGCTGCTCAAATGATTTGTCTATTTTGCGACCCAGCAGATACTCCTCTCGATTGATTAGCTCTGCGCTGTCTGGAATTATTCGGGGATTAGTGTTTAGTTAACTAAGCAGAGTATTTATATACTTTTATACATCCATTCGAGCTTCGCTTCGCCTCCATTGCTACTGTTTAATACGCCCGAGTTCTCTCCTATGCGCCGCAACTCTTCACGATCCCGCTCCTCATTGATCTCCTTGCGCAGATCATCCAGCTTGCGTTGCTCTTCTTGCTTTGCCTGTTCCGCTTTCCAAACTCGCTCCTGATTTTTCATCGTGTGTGGATGCCATGATTTTTTCAAATTCTATTTGACACATACATATATGTATAAATGAGTTTTTGAAATATATGAGTTTAATTTTAATGAGTTCCAGTTCTTACCAAATCTCCGCCACCCATATTGAGGTTTGCTTAGTTTTTATTTAAGCAAAATATACGTATACAAACAAGCGTCCTTCTATTCCCTCTTATCTTTTTGCCGTAACATATGATAAGCAAGGTATGCTGGTCGAAAGAATTTTTGTTGCGCGGCGGGTATGCAGCCCATAGGATGGTATATATGTTTTATAATATAAATAATTAAAACCAGTCTATTGGCAACGCTAAGAACTTTATATGAAACTACTCAAAGCCATTCTTTCATATATTTTAATAATTTTTCAAATAATGTTGCTTATGCCTGCAAGCAGCGATCAAACAGCTGTTAACAATAAAAATTTATCGACCGCCGCCATATTATAGCAACAACTATCGATTTATCTACGATAGACAATAACTAGAAACTTAGCCGCCAACTAAAAGATAGTGTGAGTTAGGAAAAATATGATTAATTTATAATAAATTAAGGTGTATGCTTTTTGGCAAATAGTTAATTACAATTAACAGCAGTATGTATTTTATAGTAAGCACTTATCATATCTTCGGGATTAAAATGTGACATAACGGAATTTTTCCCTTGACATTTTAAAATTAAATTTGTAGCAGCGAAATTTGTATAAAAGTTGTTATTGAAATGTTACAAACCTATCCCATACTTTCAAATTCAATAGTTAACCTATGGCATCAGTCAAATAAACTTCTTAGCCATGGCACCGATTTACAAATTCAACGAAACTTTGCTGACAAGGGTAAAGATAAAGATGATGGAAAATTGCAAAAGTTAAGCCTGCAGGATGTGGACGTGGTTGGCAAGCGGGTGTTTATGCGCGTCGACTTCAATGTCCCCATGAAGGAAGGCAAGATCACCAACAATCAACGCATTATGGCGGCGCTGCCCAGCATTAAATATTTGCTGGAGAAAAAATCGAGATCTGTGGTAAACAATTAATAGAGTTTTCAAAATATTTTTTTTCCGATACTTTTCTTTTCCCAGGTGCTGGCTTCCCATTTGGGCCGTCCGAATGGTAAAAAGAATTCGAAATTTTCATTGAAACCCGTTGCCAAAGAACTGGAAAAGTTGCTAAAACGCCAAGTGAGCTTCATTCCCGACTGTGTGGATGAATCGGTTTTGAAAGCGATCCAGAATCCGCCAGAGGGCACTCTCATGTTACTCGAGAATCTGAGATTCTATGCGGAGGAAACGGGCAGCAGCAAAGACAAAAACAAAAAAAAAGTCAAGGCCGATCCTGTTAAGGTTAAAGCGTTTCGCTCTAAATTGGCGAAATACGGTGATATCTATGTGAATGATGCCTTTGGCACAGCCCATCGAGCGCACAGCTCGATGATGGGCGAGGGCTATAAAGTGCGCGCTGCAGGATTTTTGTTGGATAAGGAGCTGAAGTACTTTGCCAAGGCGCTGGATAACCCGAAGAGACCATTCATGGCCATTTTGGGCGGGGCCAAGATAGCTGACAAGATCCCATTAATTAACAATCTGCTGGACAAGGTGGATCAGATGATTGTGGGCGGCGGCATGGCGTTCACATTTCTGAAGGTCATGAAAAATATGGAAATTGGCAAATCGCTCTTCGATGAGAAGGGCGCCAAGATGATCAAAGATATTATGAAATCGGCTGCGAAGAAGAAAGTGAAAATTTTGCTGCCCGTCGATTTTCGTTGCGCCAAAAAGCTGGACAAGGACTTCGGTGAGATAAAGAACATCGATGTAAAGCAGGGCGTGCCCAAGGATCAGATGGGCCTGGACATAGGCAATAAAACGATACAGCTATTTGGCTCGGCCATTGTGGAGGCCAAGACGATTGTATGGAACGGCCCACCCGGTCTCTTTGAGAACGATAAATTTGCCCTTGGCACCAAGGAGTTGCTGGACGCCGTCATTTGTGCCACAAGGAAGGGCGCTACGACAATCGTGGGCGGTGGCGATACGGCCACAGCCTGCAAGAAATTCGGCGGCAGCGACAAAGTCTCGCATGTCTCCACCGGCGGTGGGGCGGCGCTGGAGCTGCTAAAGGGCAAGAAACTGCCAGGCGTAGCGGCATTATCAAATGCCAAGAAGTGATCGGTAAAATGTAAATCTCCGACTTTTATCTAAAGCCATTAAGTTAAAATGCAATTTGGCAATATGCTTCGGACACATTACATATATTAAAAATTCGTATTTCTCAGAATTAACCTACAGATAAATTGAAGAAAGTAATGTTAAAATTTTGATACTTTTTGGCTAATCATATATAGTTATATATATATATGTTGTTCAATATTTGGGATTTGTGGATATAAAACAAATTCGTTTTTTGATTAATCATATAATTTATTTATTTTAAAATTGATTTGGACTGTTAAAGCCTTTTCAACATAAAGTCCGCTCATGGATTTAATCCATTGTCGATTATATAATGTTTATCTTTTTGGCTAATTGAAACGCTGGAATGAAAGTTTCTACAAATTGTTCATAAAATAAATACGATTGACAACTAATGGAACAGGGATTCTAAAAGATTAGATAATACAAACATAATTCTGTTCATTTTGGTTGTCGATTACACTTGATAAATAATATAATAAGTCTGCAGCATCAACCTGTCTAACATCTTCGAACTCCGATACTCTTTATAATGCAATTAAAGTTGTTGGTCTGCAATATGTTTTTTTTTTTCTCTGTATAATGGATCGATAACAATGGTGGTTTAATCAAAGCTGATCAGCTCTGCAGTCGCGGGCTCGGGTGCTTTGCTCGGGGCAGCTGGTTCGGGCTCGTTCTGGGGTGGAGCAGGCGCAGCGGCTACAGCCTGAACTTGTGTGTTCGCAAGCTCCACTGCAGCAGCGGTCGGTGGTGGAGGTGCTACTGCTGCTGCTGGTGCTGCTGCTTGGGGTGGTGGTGGTGCCTGTTGCGGTGGCAGTTGGGCATTTGGAATTGGCGGATGGGATTGSACAATTTGCTGCTGCTGCAGCATAACATGACCCAGATGTGGTTGCGGTGGAGCTTGGGGCTGGGCAATGGGCTGAGGTTGTTGCTGCGCTTGTGGTTGGCCTGGGATTTGCTGTGGCTGCTGCTGCTGTTGTGGAGGCATCTGTGACATCATGGACTGAGTCGGATTGGCGTAAGCATTTTCGGGTAGTGGCTGCTGTTGTGGCATCATATTGCCAGGAGGCGGCATCATCATGCCCTGAGCTGGCGGTGGCTGTGCCATGGCGGGATTGTACATGCCTGGCGGCGGAATACCGCCTGCAAACTGACCATTGGGTGGTGCATAGCCAGGGGCAGCTACATAGGGATTATAAACGTTGTTCAACTGATGCGAGGGCGAGCCGTGTGGAGCCACTGCGGAGGGTGGCAGATAGGGAAAGGGCGAAGATTGCCCCATCAAATATTGGGCCTTCTGTTGCTCCTGGCGCAGTTGCATTTCACGCTCCTGTTCCTGGATGCGTTGCAACGCGAGCTGGCGTTGATATTGCAGGTATTCCTGCTTCTTCTTGCGCATAATCTCCAGCTTTTGGGCCATTTGCAGTTGACGCTGTCGCTCCTGTTCCTCCGCAATGCGACGCAGCTTCTCCACATGCTCCTGTCGCAGCACATCGAGCGCTGCGCGCGAATCCTTAATCTGGGCCAGCTTATCCTGCAGCTGCTCGTACCACATACGCTTGTCGTCCATTTCCTTGATATAGGTCAGCTGTTGGGAGTGCAGTGAAGTGAGCGTCATGAACAGAGTTTGCACCGAGGAGTCATTGGAGATGCTGCGTCCGCGGCTCGAATTCGACTTCATGCGATTAACAAAGATCTCCACCTGCGTGCGCATATTGGCAGCGAATTCATCAATTTGCACCTCGTCGGCGTTCTTTGACAAGGGCAACGTTTGTAGCAGCTGTTGCTGCTGTGGCTGTGGAGTGGGCGGCATCGGACTGGGTGCCGATGGACTGGCCATCGATGAGGATTCGCTAATTTTGCGCTGCTCCCAATAGCTGCGGTTCAAATATTTGGCCAACTCTGGGTTGCTTTCCTCCTGCTGCTGCTGCTGCTGGGCTGGCAGCTGCTGCTGTATTGGCTCTGGACTGGGCGAACGCTGCTGCAAGCGATAGTTGGCGACCGATGACGGCTGCTTCTTATGCTCCGCCTCGGACTGACTAAGTGCCAAGGCCAGTTGCAGTTCCTCCTCCTCTTTCAGCTCTTGCTCGCTTTTGCGTGCAGGTGTCTTTGCAAATAAAGGATAAATAAATCAGGGATTTAGTTTATTCTCCTGCTTAGGCAATGCCAAGAAACCAACCTGAACCTGCTGGGAGAGCGAGCTATTCAGATATTCCGCTGGCAAATCGCTGTCCGCCGAACCACGCGCACTCGACTTGGCGCCCGCTGGGCGTTGTAGTGCCATAAAGCAGCCATCGCACACACGCACATCCTTCTCAATGCCGTATTTGGGCAACGGGCACTGCTTGGCCGTGCACTGGCCGCAGAACACCTGGCCACAGTTGCGGCAATGATGCTTGCGATTGGTGAACGTGAATTCAACGCGACACCGATGGCACACCCTGCCATCGGCCCAGTTGGGAGCCGTATCGGCAGTGAACATCGCATCCGCTTCCTTTAGCTCCGGAAAGGTGTGCCCCTTGGCCTTCAGTATGGTCATAGTATCCTGTGCAAATTGAATGTAATTTTTTTAGTCTTCCGGTTTTTTTATTTTCTTACATTTCAAAATAGAGTGACATGAAAAAGGTAAAATCTTTTAAGTTTGCTGAACTACAATAAAAAGATTGTGTAAGAGGCGATGTGATATTGTTTTTAAGAAAGCGTTTAAAGAACTGTACTTCTATATAGCTACTGTTATATCGTAACGTATTCGCTATTTAAAACGTTAAAAAGCTTGTCAAGATAGTTTTAGAATTCCTAGTAGTAGATTCGTAACGTCATAAATACTTTATATGTACGTCAGCAAATTGTATTTTAAAACAGGTATTTGTGAAGGTATACTGCTAGCTGAAGTACGCCTAGCCATATAGATTGGTAGCAGGTGGTAAATGCTTTTCAGCTATCATATGCCTCTACAAGCATATGTTCCTAATTTAAAATTAATTAATTTGCCCAAGTCTAAGAGATTTCTCTTGACATAACAATTTCCAATTCCCCAAACCCAAATCTCACCTTAATTGCCTGATATTTGTCCGACGAGCGAAAAGCATAGGCCCATGTCTGCACAAGCTCCAGCATTTTTTGCCGCACATTCTCATGTGGCGTTTGTTCTAGGAAGCTGCTAAACATTTCGCAGTTCTCCTTGGTGAAGACCTCTTCGTGCACGGGTGCTCCACAGTTCTTGACAATGCTCTCGAGCACCAGCAGCGAATAGCAGGCCGAGTGTGGATTTGGTGAATTCATTTTCTTCTTAATCGCTGCAAAGGCATTTTTTGGTCTGAAATGTGGAATAGAGAAAATTAGTCAAGTTTCTCTCTTCCTCCATACTCGTGGCACATACGTGACGTCTTTTTGATTGATTTCATCGCAAATAAGCAGAATTGAGGGCCAATCTGGCTCCAGACGCAAGTGGCTCGTCGCATTCTCTGTGAAAGACCGAAAATATATGTAATCACTTAATTCTTGCGCATCATATATGCGTTCTAAGTTCATTTCCCTTTTTTTGTTATACTTTTTCTTTGCATTATTCTTTTTTCGATGAGTCATTTTTTGTTGTACTATCTCTTAGCTTAATTTACTGTCATATATACTGCGTCACTTACCCAGATTTTTGTCAAAACTAGAGCGAAACATTTTGTTATTGACAAACTTCTATAATTGGCTAAAGAAAACTTGTATTTTRAAGCGTAAATGAGTTTTATTTATTTATTTCGTGCTCCGCTGCCTCTAGTGCTAGCTGCTGATTTTATTGCGAGTGATGAGCTGGTTTTGCGATATATTATCGAGTAAGTATCGATATATGCAGTGCCAAGTGATCAGGGGTGCACAAAAGCTTTGGCAATGGCGCGCGATAGTATTGGTGTTTAAATGCATGCTCAGAAGTTCAAGGTTTTGGTCAGATAATGTCTCGTCATTCTGATTCTTTTCAATTTAACTTAATTCAATTATTGGAAATGATATTTGAGTTCATTATCAATAAGATTAAAAGCTGTTAAATTCATTAATTTTTTACTTGTCCATTTTATTCGAATTTATTTCTTAATATAACTTAATTAATTAGGTATTTATATGACATATATACATATGTATAGTCCCTATACGCATATGAGAACTATATAACCGTATAAAATCTACATATTCGCTATTATTATAATTTTTTTTTTTTTTACATATTTTACAGTATGTAGTACAGCAATAGGTAAGCATTAGTTAAAGTATCACACGCCGATATAAAAAGGTTGTTCACTTGAACTAAGCGATAAGTAACATAAAATCACATTTAATTTATATTAAGCTCAAAATACTAGGCAACCAATGCAATCCAAATCAAACCGATTTAAGTTTATGCTTTAGCGTAAAATACGCCAGGATCTTGAACAACGTTATGTGGCCCAAGATCATCGTGATGTTATAGCCAAAGTCGCCCTGTTCCATGCCAAACTGACGCAGCACCGTAATTGCATTTCTATAAAAGAGAATCTTTATAAGTATATATGTATTTTGAAACATGAAAGATTAAAACATACTTGAAGTGACAGTAGAATTCGGTGGGTGGACACTCTAGCTTATCGCGATGATTCCCATACAATGATACAACCATATTCTCCAGAGCATAACGCATGGGCGAAAGGGCAGCTATGAATCGTAAGGCTGCGGGTATGTGATTTAGCAGGATGAGGAAGCCCGAAAACATGAGCATAAAACATGTCGATACAGCTCCAACAAAGGTGCCATTCTGCGAGGGAGAGAAAGCATATATTAACAAATATTATGAGATGATATATATGTCCCTATCTTACCACCGGATTAAGTAAGGTGCCCAGGAATACGCCCAAGCCATCTGCGCAGATGGTTACGACAACAGCAGTTAGTAAATATTTTACAAAGCGATCTAATTCAACTGGCTGATCGGTCATCAGATATCCAATGGTTATATAGACGGTCGAGAAGATTATCTGCAAGGGCATGGTATATTAGATATAGGACAAATCAGATCAATAATCTGATTTAATAATATATAAACTTACATGCACTGGCGTGGATGTTATCAAGGTGGCCACATAGTAGGTTCTCAGTTTGTACCAATTGTTAAAGGTTTCCTTTTTGATTATCGCAATTTCCAGGGGATCTATAAGCAATGTATATTATTATAAACATATAGGAACTACATTTGATTTCACTTACAGCGCAAGATGCCAGGCATTATGGTCGTATACCAGAGATAGACGCAGTGTATCATAATCATGCCCACGTTTGATATTTGCTTCGTCGCATTAATGCCGGAATCGCCAAAGAATAGTCCAATCATAACGGCGCTCAGAATGTGCATGCCCAGCTTCAAATATGTCAAGGTCTAGTAAAAATAAGAAGTAAATTAATTTTAAATTAATTATAAAGGCCTGTATAAAAATAAAAACTTAAATTTATAGTACAATAACATTAACAAATAATTAAAAGCTGCCGTATAATTAAGGGTAGAGGGCATCTATATATGTATATTTGATCTTCAAGTTGAGCCCGACCAACAGTAAAACTTTCTATCTAGAAAACTAGCTCTATATTAAGTAGGTGATTAAGGTAATTTATGCATAACTGTGTGTATATTCAAGGTTTTGAACTATGAATAAACATTAATCTAGATATGAATATTTATGGATTTCGTAATATAATAAGAATTTATATAAACTTAAGTATTGTGCAATAGAGTTTTTTTTATGTGGAAGACCTCCTAAGTGTTTCTCAATAATTGCAATTATATTTCCTGTATTCCGTCTCTGTCTCTCTTCTTTATAATTTTTTCTTTTTCATCTCTCGTTCACTCAGTTATCTCTATCTGTCTTTCTTTCTCTTTCTATATTTCTATAACAATTGTGTCCCTCTATCTCTCCATCTTTCATCTCTCTCTCTCTTTGTCTCTCTCTCCTTCGCCACTATCTCTCTGACCTCTCTCTTTCTCTGTCTCGTTTCCCTCTAATTTTCCTTCTCCTCTCCGCTTGTGACTCTCTTTCTCGCTCTGTTACCCTCTCTATCTTTCTTTCTTGCTTTCTTTTGTAGTCCCTCTCTTATGTTTCGAATTGTGTTTATCTGTTTCTAATTGTTTTTTTTTTTGTTTCTATCTCCCGCTGTCTATATTTCTGATTGGCAGAATCGTATGAGAAACAAATACAAATCAGCTAAATAATATTAAGTGTCTGGTCAAGTATACATATATGTATGTGCTTAACATATGGACACATATGTATAAATAAGTAAATTCAAGTTCAGGCTACGCAGATTTGGGCACGTCTGATCTCATTGTCTTTTGCAAGCTCTATAAAAATGCTGAGCTCTCTGAGTATATATTTTATGCATTAAGGAAAATTGTACACACCCAATCCCTAAAGAACTGTAGGTGACAGCGTCCAATTAGCAGCCATAAGCGTACCCATTCAGGCGGTGGGTAGGTGTGCTTAATGAGCTCCTTGGCTGATTCAGCCTTTTGTATTTTGGACTGCGCCGCTTGGCCTTGGGTTTGCGATTCGTTGAACTTGGCCACCTGAGCATCGGTTGGTGGCTCTGCCTCGTCCTGCAGTAGTTGCTGATCGTATCGCCAGCGTGCGTCCCTGGCACCTTCGGTCAAGGCCTGTGTATGATCGTCGAAGTCACCGTTCACGCACTCCAGCACTGTCACGTGACGCCAATGACATTTTTATGATCAGTTAAAGGCGGTCGCCAATTAGTGGTGTAGGTCTACTCACAGAAATCGGCTGGATTGTGATAGGCGGGGCACTCGAGTCCGATCGTTTTCAGAAACAGCACCGTATTTTGAGGCGTGCCCTGATAGGTGCACTGACCAGAGCTCAGCACGTAGATCAGGTTGAACAGATTGTAAATGTTTGTCGAGGGCTGATGGATAGTGCACACAATGGTGCGACCCTCGTTCGCCAGCGTCCGTAGCAGTTGTATGGTATCAAAGGAAGACGAGCTGTCCAGACCACTGTGAAGGGATACAGTCTCAAGGTTAATGCTACATCTGATCGTGCTGTTGTAGATGTTGCTTACGTTGTGGGCTCGTCTAAAAATAGCACAGCTGGATTGTCAATTAGTTCCAAAGCAATAGACAGGCGCTTTTTCTGGCCACCGCTCAGCTTGGAGCATCTTGTTTGCTTGGCCTTGGTCAGCTTCAATGTGTTTAACAGGTGATCGATCTGAAAGGCATGGAAAAATTTAAATTTAAAATGGGCTGAGGACATTCATTTCATTTTTAATCTTTAATCTGGTTTTTAAAGAAAGAAAACTTATATATACTTGTATATATACATTTTTAAAGCTATTAATGCTAGATGCTGTGCTCTTTATGCTAAAAAGATATGATAAAAAATTTCTTCTAAAAGTTCTACCAGTTTCTTAAAGCTGCTAAAGATTTTTCAACCATTTAAGATAAATTTTAGTTGAAGCAATAAAACATTTGATTTATTACAAAGAATGAAATACTACGAGAAGTTGTTTAAGGCATGTTCGCTTGATGGAGTATTCTACTAAAACACTCTCTTATTCGGCTTTATCTTGAATCTTACCAAAATGCGTTTTTCCTTCAGACCAACACACTTATTGGATATCTTAAGTGCTGCAGCGAGAAGCATCGTCTCCTCCACCGTGAAGAATGGATAGAAGTGATCATCCTGCATGATGTAGGCGCACAATTTGCGTGCCTTGCCGATTTCAATGGTGCCCGAGACACCATTTTTGGTGAGGCCCGTTAGAATGTTCATAAGACTAGATTTGCCGGCACCCGATGGGCCCATAATAGCAGTCATCTCGCCCGATTTGAACGTACCGGTAATGCCCTTGAGCACCGACTTTTTTTCTGCAAGCAAATTGCGAATAGTCAATATAAACAACATAATGCAAATATTTCAAAAGAGTTCAGGTAAGATTTTTATCTACTTTTGCGAGTGTATTTACGTTTAACGCACCTTTCTGCTTCGGCTCTTTGACCTGGTAGACCAGATCTTCAAAGTGTATGTCGATGCCATAAACTGTTTTTAATAGTTTGCTACTATCCATGTTTATTTGTTTATATTTAATTAGTTCGCACTGTGAAGCTTTTTGTTCATCTGTTTTAATATTAATTTTGAAATGTTTCGTGTTTTTTTTTTCTTTATTATTTTTTATTCAACTCGATTCGTTGTATTTCAGAATTCACTTTATTTTAAGGTCGCTTAGCAAATGCTTTGGCTAATGCATAATCATTGCTGCAATGCAATTAGTTTCAATGTAAGAGAGCCCCTCTTGCACAAATGTTTAATTACACGCTCTAAACAATTAAAAAAAAAAAATGTAAATTAAAAATTGTAAATCAAAAACACAATGATGACAAAACACTTTAGGCTTCAGCCTGTTTCATTGTAATTGGAGCGCGAACTGAATTGACATACACGCGGGGCCGAGCTCTTGAACCGCTGAACCATTGCATAAAACTGCCAAACACCAACCACTCAACCACTGCTCAAGCACCGAGCCGCCAAGCCACTGAACCGACAAACGAACAGCTGTTAACTGCGGAAGAAGCGACTGGGCGGCAGAGCCAGAGGCCGAAGCAGAAGCAGAGGCAGAGGCAGAGGCAGCGACAACTGCGCAGCCGCGTCGACGGCCAACGGGGACGTCAACTGCGCAGCCAGCTGTGCTTTAAAAACCAAAGCAAAATCCAATAAATTAATTCGTACAATAACAATGAAGAGACTAGCAGCAGCAGCAACAACAACAACAACAACAATAGCTATCAGCTATAATACGCATATCCAAATCAATTTGGCAATGCAAAACGCGTCGACAGAATGTCAAAAACAAAAACAAAATTCAAAAATAAAGTCAACAATCGAGCTACGGGAAACCAAAAATGTTCAAGTTTAAAGTTTTGGACGTAGACATTTTTTTGGGCGAACAGAACACGCACGCACACTTACGCACACACACACACACTCACACATACACTCGGGCTGTCTATTTGACTAGTGAGTCAACGGCTATATACATATCTATAATTGTCTATGGAAGATATAATAATAATTATAAAAACACATAAAATGTGTCCCATAGAATGAAATAATTTGCGAACGACCTTCCCGTCATTGGTCTAACATGACAATGCTCAAAAACGTGGAACAGAAGAGGAATGCGTACTCTCGCTTCGCATATTATGAATATTATTATTATTTCTGTAAATATGTARGCAAACATCAAGTGTAAATAGCGGTGGAAATGGGACAGCACCGAATATTTTAATATACTTCACGCTTTGAAAGACTAAGAATTTTAATATATTGGAAAAGTTGCAAACAAATCTTGCCAAATAAGAAAACCAGTTTGCCTTTTTTTTCGGTTTTGATGAACCGTCTCGATTGTTCCATAGCATATAAAAAAAAAAATGAGAAGATGGTGCTAGATAATAAGCTGAATTTGTATTATAGAAAACAAATGTATAAATGTTTATTTTATTTTTGCTTAAAATGGAAACTAATATTTTAATAATGCAGAAATTTTTTCAATTTACTTTTGTATATCAAAAGTCATCAGAATACACAAATCAATTTAGTATCGCTTACTTTCTAAGTAAGTATTAAACTGGTTAATAATAATATGTAGAAAAAAAAAAAAAATAAAAAT